GTAATACCCTGTCAGAGGTGCTGATACATCAGATATGATAAAAGGACAGTCATAGAGGAACGTTTGTGGGAGGGGGCTATAATTCAATCCTTTTTTATTTATTATTGGGAAACTAATCTGCTTTATGTTATTGAGTTCATTGTTTTGCTTGCTTTGAGGTGAATAACACCACATCTTGATAAGAATCAAAGAAAACTGAAACACATCTATTGACTATATATTGAAAATTGAACATGTCTTTTATATTACAGAGAGGTAAAAGAAACCGACAATCAGAAGCCCAAACACACCTCCCCATCCCATAATTACTAGCAATTTATTTGGAGAAGCATTTGATATTTTCCTTCAGTTCAGATTTCCAACGGCGTTCGTTCTTATTAAAATGCATTTAAGCTTCAGCCATTTTTCCTATAATTATTACCCTGTCTTTAGAATTAAATTATATTTAATTTTTAGTGTTCATTCCTTATGGCGACAGGTTCAGGGTTGGCAAGAAAGGGTGGCTGTTGAGGGAGCATATTGCTGGAGAGAGGTTGGTGGCTTGTGGAGAGACATGCTTACATTGATAATGATTGTTTGAATTGGAAGCCATTTCTGCTATTGTAGCTCAAATGAAATTATGGAATCTTGTCATTTGATGTTTTTTCTTCTTTCTTCTGAATTGATTCTTCTCTTTAACAACATTAAATCAAGTCTTCCAAGCAACTGGTTCACATTGAAACCTATTTACAAAATATGTCTGCCCATGTTCTACCCTCTTTCTGTTTCTCTCTCTCTTATATGTTCAGTCTTATTTCCTTTTTTTTCTCTCTCTTACCCTGTTGATAGAAGGTGCAGGTAGATGAAATGCTAGCATCCAAGGAATATTGATTTTTGTTTGTTAATAAGACACGCTTTGTCATTCCGTGGAATTTTATGCTATAAAAGTCAGATAGATAACTGTGACTAAAGAATGAATGTGAAAAATAAAGATGGTTTCATAACGTACAGTAGCAGGCTAACCAAATGAGTTTGGTGATAAAGAATGTGACATCACATGCAGACGTTTTCAGATTCGAATTTCTTGTTTTTATTATTGATTGCATTATTATTACTACTATAATCACTAGTTTAACCGTGCTATCAAAATAGCAATGGAAATATTGAAGTAATTTTGCAATTGTAATTCTAAAATACCAAATGCTTTACATTATTCTAGATTTCTTCTTAATGATCATTATTTCAATATTAAAGTAAACAAATAACTTTCTATTCACCTTGGAAAATAAAAGTCTATAAAGATTCAAAGTTTATCAAAATGTTATTTCTGGTATATCACTGGAGGAGACAATAAAGATGGATTGACAAGGTTAAGATAAGAGACCATGACATAAAAATGGGCAATTTGCACATCCCTATATGGTGAACTCTTCTGGTGATGTAAAAAGAAAAAAAAATGTTAAAAAAAAACAAAAAAAACATAGGCACATTGTGTTTAATGCATGTGGATTGATTCACTGTTCAGTGTTCAATGCCTCAGCTCTTATTTATGAAGGTTTTTATGTAAATTATTATTATGTTGGTGTCTCCTAACATTAAGAATTTTGTTCTTGAGGCATGGTGTCAACAAGGTTTCTCACAACCCCAAGATATAACCTTGTCTCATGGGCAGGAGGTGCACTTTAGCCTTGAATCCTAGAGATTGTGTCTCTAAAAGCAACCTTAAATTCACTAACCTTCATATTATGAATGAAATGTCCAATCAAAATATTGAAAGTAACAGCATGAATGATACAATGACAAAGGTATCTCTTCTGGCAGATGTCCCATTGCACAGCAGGATGTGCCCAGTCATCATTCTACTTCTAGAGTGTGGAGAAGAGTGATCTTGAGATAAATAGAACTGATAGATTATTATTATTATTATTATTATTATTAAAAAAATTTCTTTTTGATCTGCAGTTGTTCTATTATCAAATGCTGAGGTATGACAAACAGGCAAGTGAAGGATTAGATTTTTTTTTTCCACTAAATTAAACAAAAGAGAACTATTAACAAAAAAAAAAAATTAAATGGACAAAGCTCTTCACAGGATATGGGCGGTGCATGTAAGAACTGTGTTTTTTATTTCTTGGAGAGATGGTGCACCAGGGATTTTGTTGATTTGTTATCGAGTTCCTTCCTTTATCAGACCCAACGCTTCAACCACAACAGGAAGTTTTAGTTTTTATCTACCACATTTTTTTTTCTCTCTCCATCTCCAGGTCTTTGTATTTGCTTGGTTTTTAAAAATCTTTGCAGAGACGTTTTTGTCACTTGGTACACTAATGTCAATCAGTGTGCAATTTTTTTCATTTCTGTCTTTGAAAATAATGTCTGGGCAACTGGCATGTATTGATCTCTGTTGATAGAAAAATCCCAGAGAATGGTAACATCTGCTCCCTTAGGATGATGTTCAAGACCAGTTTGCAGCTGTTTTTATTCCGTAGTGATGACTGATCTTCCAATGCAGATATTGACCTACACTTGTACTCACTGGATATGTATATTAAGCATCTTCAGATAAGGTAATCAATAGTTTCAATGTATTGGTTATAAAACCTACATTTTGGGTTCATACTATTATGCAAGATATTAGCTTGGTGGTCACATGTAAGCAGGCCCTGGTCCTGTGCAGCAAGAATAAACACTTCAGTTGCACCCTTAAGTCCTGATCTCCTTAGTGGGTTGTGAATTGATCTACATCAGCATTTCTGCTTTGGAGAACAAATTATTCTCCTTAGCACCAAATATCAGATTGATAGGTATAAATACATATAATAAGAATATAAATCTAACAATCCAAATCTTGGGAGTTTGTATTTCACTTTAGGCAGGAAAAATTTCCTGACCACATTCTGTATTTTTTAATGAAAAAGTTAGTGGAATTATTGCTATGATTATTTCTATTATTCACATCTCTATTACAAGCTTTGTTATAAGTCCAATAATTATTTCATTTTGATTCTTCTGCTATTATACATAATTACAATAATAATATTCATTATATAATCCAAACTTATTTTTATCATGATTATTTATATTTGAGCATTTTATGACCATTATTGTACATGTATCAACAGAGTCGCTTCAGATTGTAAAGCAAATATTATTCATAGTCCATCTGTTTAGATCTTCTGAATTTGACAGACAAAAAGGACTGATCTGGATGATGATATGCTATTAATCGACTATACACCTGAATTAACAAGCTAGAATTTTAGGAATTATATACAATATACAATAAAGGTTTTAGTGTTTCCTTCACTGACTCAACTTTGATATAGAGGTGATAAAAAGAAGGAAAAAAGATGACCTTGAGGGTCAGGTAGGGTTAGAAGATAAAAAAGCATCATTATTACTTAACCCTGGACGCGGATGTAGTTTATTATTATACACAGGACGGGTGCCTGGGTTAAGACGATAAACTATGTCCAACAGCAAGGCCTCTGATCAGGAGGCTTTGAGGAGCGTGGAACCACCTTTTAATTGCTGGTGTTCCCAGGTCCACGTTGACACTGGGTGGTAGTACCTGTTAGGGTCCCAGCTATGGGCAAATAGTTAACCCCGAAACTGAGGTAAAAAGCAATTTGGAAGTGCAAAAATACATTTTAATACCAGAAATACTTTATAAAAAATTTATTACCAGAAATAAATTTTTGAAGAAAAGAAACTATTACCAGCAATACATTTTTGAAAATAATATTACCAGCTATACAATTTTGAGGAAAAAATATTTCCAGAAATAGATTTTTGACAAAACAAAAATATTACCAGGAAAAAAAAAAGTTGTTGGCATTAAATGACTCATTGAGATTGATATGCCTTAAAACAAACCAATAACTCGGGCACCCTAGCTGCAGTAGAAGGTGTATGAACTGATGATTCACTGTGCAGAAAATGAAATTAGTGAATCAAATTCAACTGAAACAATTTATACCTAATTCAACCTTAATGCTCATGAAAAAGGCATGAATCCATTCTCTCTCTCTCACCTAGTTACGAACTAAATAACAAGGCCTTTTAGAGTCTAAGAGAAGGACAACATTGAATTTAAAACAATTGTGTATGTAACAAAAAAAAACAGCTGTTTTTTTTTTTTTTTTCAAAAAATAATTAAACTATTGTGCAGTTCAGAGATATTAAATAAAAGGAAGTAGTAGAGAGTCATGATTGCTGAAGGGACATATCACTTAGATCTGTAATGTATAAATGTGTTTTTGCATGTACACACAAGAATTGGATATGAATGTTAAATGTGTGTTGGATTTTTCATTTTCTTTTAATCATTTCACCCCAAGCAAGGTGATAAAGCCAATACGATGCAAAGAGTTACTGAAAGTGAAGGAAACTGAGATTGAGTAGAAAACAACAGTAAAGATCATGATTCAAAGAGATGACAACAATGTTTAAATTTTTGATGATCATAGTTTGATAGGAAAGCAAGAAACTGGAAGAGAATTTATAAATTGGAATTTGTCTCTCTTTCTCCATTTTGGGCAACACTTTGAGTTTTTCATCATAAAAATTAATGATAGGAACTATTTGATCATCATTCATATTTGCTACAAATTTCAAAGCTTAGATGTACAAAATATAGATTCTCCCTGAACGATAACACATCCCATAATTACATCACATGAGTCATGATCAACAATCGCCTAACGGATCACATACAAAACCTTTTGGACACAACTGGTCTGGCCTCAGTTGTTCCTTTAATGAAGCGTAAAACCCTTAAGTTGTATGATCATATCAAATAAAGCAAAAAAGGATTATCAAAAATATACATTGAAGGGATGATTGCTGTCAAAGGAAAAAGGGGGCCTCAACAAGATGTGATGACAACTTAATCAGATAGACACCAATTTTATCTTGGATCCATAAACCAATCTACTCTTTACTATGAATTCTGGAGTAAGTTGAATTCTGTGAGGGCAAATTCTTCTATAGATGGAGAGTGTGTTTCTATAATGATGACAATGATAATAAAAAAAGAAGTTGAAAAAACTGAGGAAAATAAATTTCCTTTTTTATTTTCCTTACTTATCCTCTTGGATTCTTTTCTTTTTTCTTTTTTCCTTTTCTTTCTTTTTTCCTTTTTCTTTCTTTTTTCCTTTTTCTTTCCTTTTTCTCTTTTTTTACCCCTTTTCTCTTTTTTTACCCCTTTTTTTTTTTTTTTCCTGTTTCTTTTTTTTTTTCCTTTTTTCTCCTTTTTTCCTTTCTCCTATTTTTTTTTTCTTTTTTTACTGAAAATAAAATCTACTCAACTGCTTAAGTGCAATCCTCAAATTATTTTTATTGGCATTTATTCTCTCTCTCTCATAGTAATTTTATATAAATTGTTTTTAATAAGATCGTTTAGGTGTTGTTGTTTGCAATGTAAAATTAAAATGAGCAATATTTCTGTAAGTTGTTACATAGATAAAAACCAATGGCCCCAGAAAATGTGCATCTCATTAATTTTGTATCACTTGAACCTACAGGTTAAACAGATGTTTTCCTGGGGTCTCAAGAGGAGAGCTCATTAGCATGTTTTCTTTTATTTATTCCACTCTGAATAAATCCAATGCTAATCTGACCACCCCTGCTTCTCAATATTTTCATTTTATTTTTACCCTCATCCGCCACCATCCTTTGTTATTGACTGGTAATTTGGTACAATTACATTCAGATTCTCTGCATATCAATTATGGATTTTTCAATCTGTATTTATTTCATTTTAATTTCACTTGCTTTTTACCATAACTCTGTCATTGTATGGTCGTTAGTGTGGAACACAGATCAGAAATAAAGAATACACCTTTGGAGAGAATTGCATCTCTTAAGGAATCTTACCTAGGGGTTTATTCTTTACCAGGAACTGTTTTAAAGTTCTTGGCCTGCACCCACTTCCTAAAATCTGATCAAACATCAGCTTCTTGGTTTTTTCTTGGTTGGGTTGAGAACTTTTCAGTGCTTTCCACTCCCATAATTCTGATCAACATTGCTTAGTCATGATATTAGACTTATTGCCTGAGTGTTGGGATAAAAGTCTATCAAAATTAAGATGAAACAAACATAAATCAATAACAATAATAATAAAGAATAGAAGAGATGTAGATTAAGCTGTTATATACACGTTGCCCTGTCTACCAGAAAGGTTTTTACATTTGCATATTCAAGTAAATTTTTAAAAATATCTCCTAAATCATGGAAGATAAAAACAAAAAAATAGTAAAAATCATTATTATTGTTTGTAAGCCTTTTTAAATAATATTTTGAAATTATCATTTTATTTGTACTTCCCATTTGAATTATAATTTTCCTTCAACATTATTGTATTTATCATAACAAACATATAGAAAATTGGATCCTTTTTATAGAGATATTATTGTATATCTTCTATTGTCATTCCCCAAGTTGGGGTAAGATCACCAAGATTCAAATTGTGAATTCTTACAGAGAGCTTCATGCATCTCCTTGATCTGCTTGGCATTTTTTTAGAGCAATAGGCATGCACATGATGATTGCAATTGTGTTTCATCTCTCTAAATGATCTTGGACTTGCAGATCACCAACAGGAAATGCTCATAGCAGTCTTCATTTTCTTTCTCATCTAACTTACTCTATCTATCTGATCACCTTTACTTTGGTTTTCACTTTCTACTCTAAAATTGCAAGTAATCTTAATTCCAGCTGGAATTTCCAGGCATGCCAAACTTGCTGGTTATGTCCTTTGTGTGGAATGTTCTTGTCAAAGAGCAGGAGAGGATGAAAGTGGGCCTGCTCTCCGTCTGGAAAGGATGCTGAAACTCTTTATTTAATAACAACATTCACCGATGTTTGGCAACCTTTTGCATTCACATAAAATTACTCCGCATCCACCTTTGCCAAAGAAGTTGAGAGCTTAATAATGGTTACTTAAAGGTCACAATTGCTGTCTTCTTTTCTCATCATTTGTTAAGCCTTGCTCTAAGCTGAATCAGGTGCATTAACAAACAGTAAATGGGGCTGGGATTATTTAATGTTATATTTCTACTTAATGTAAAATTAAATATATGCTCATAACATGGCAATCAGAGTAATTGTACAACTGACTTTTTTCATTTTTCTTTTTTTTTTTCCCACTGATCCTTTTATTTCTATTTTTTTTTTTTTGTTTAATAAATAAGGAAAATCTTTAAATTTCATTTTACACATTTACACTTGCATAGAATTAAAAAATTTTAAAGAAAATATCCTAATAGATTTTGAGCTGCAAATTGCTTTTTGAGGTTAATTGTTTTAGCAATTGAGGCCTTTTTTATTATCATTACTCTGTATCCTTATTAAAAAAAAAAGGAAGTGAAACAGAACCCTTACCTCTTTGATATTTGGATGACTGGTTGCTTTTATGAAACTTCATGTTGTAAGACTTTTAAAATTAGTAGCCTGTCTGCTCGTCAATGTGTCATCCGTTTTGAATTTTTTTAAAGTTTTTTGTTTCCTTTTTCTAACTGAAGTTGTCTGTGGTATTTTGAGTATTTAAATTTGAGTTAAACTTTACATTTGAATTGCTCATCATCTTGACTACAATAATATTTAATGGCCATCATGTTTTTCTCTAGTATTTTAATTTCCTTTTTTTTTTTCTTTTTCTTTTTTTAACCCTGCTGCTATAGTTCCAGGGACAGACACCTCCCCCCCAACTACATCTCCATCTTTATGTCAGTTAAACATGGCATGGCATGGTTCTGTGTAGCAAATCTCCAAATTATCAGTTTCCATTCTGTTATAACTTAACTAAAGGTCCACCCAGGACTATTTGCCCTGTAAAGTTCTTTCAGAGGGAGGTCTCTGCCGTTTTTAATTCTTTGTTGAATTTCTAATGCACATCTCAACTTTAACTAACTTAAAACTTAGTACTTTTTTTTTAAGGAGTAGATAAGTTTTCCTATTGCCCGGTCCATACTCCTCCCACTCCCAGTAAAGGCTTGTTTCCTGGTTCCTTCTTTCAGGCCATAATAATGGTGCTATCAGGAATTTTTTGTAATATGTGTGGATGGCAGCAACATCTCTTCATTCCATATTAGTACTGGGTTGGCAGTATTCTGGTTGTTGCTTCCAACTGGTAGTTAGAAACTCAAACTCTTACCTAGCATCTTGAGAGGCTGCTCTGATCAGCAGTCGCATGATATTGAGGTTCTTGCAGTGCCATGTTGCACATGGAAGGGTGCCCCTGCAAGCCCATCCAGTGGGTAACCCAGAGGTTGCACTATGTTGCACTCTGCACTTCCTGCACATGTTACATTAGACAACCAACCGCTACTACTAACCTAGTCCTTTCCTTTACCAATATAACGCATCATGATTATGAACAACCAAAGATATAAAACCTAAACCAGCTCTACATAAAGAACCTAAACCCCTTAACCTTTCTTTCTCCAACATTTGTGGTATTTATACCAACTTCTTCATTGTGGAATCATTCCTCTTTAAAATATCTCTGGACATCCTAACTCTTTGTGAAACTAATCTTAACTTTTCAATCCCTTTCTCTGATTTCTCAATTCCTGGCTACCGTCTTCTCTTTAGAAAGGACTCTAATGTCAACATGCATGACCTGGGAGTTTATATCCATGAACATCTTCTGCTGGCTAGGGAATTCTCTCTTGAATCTCCAGACAATTTTCACATGTGTCTCTGTCTTTCTCTACTTAACTTAGCTATCTCTTCTTTCTCTAACATCCCTCTTCTTTTCAAGACTATTGCATGCTAAATAGTATTTCTGATAATGTAGACACGGCCATTTCCCTACACCTGTTTGCAAATATATTTGTGTTTGGTGACTTTAATGCCCACCATACCAGGTAGCTTAAACACTCTGTCACTGACCTTGCTGAAATCCAGACCCTTAACTTCTCAATCAATCATGCAAGTGGTTGCCTTCCCCACATGTTTCCCCAGTAACTGTGATGGACATGTTTCTCTTCTCAATCTCTTTTTTACCTCTCTCCCTGACTCTTGTCGTACTACTCAGCTTTGCCCTCTTGGCAACTCTGATCCTAAGCTGGCATCATTGCTTTCATTCCAGCAAGGAAATACCAAGTGAAATCACATTCATCTCCTTGGTTTTCACCTGCATGCTCAGCCTCTATAGCCCACAGGAATCAATTCTTCCAGCTGTGCCAGAGAGACACATTTAATTGCAACAGACATCGTTTTCTCTCTGCTCATAATGAGTGCAAGCGCATCCTCAAAGAAGCAAAGTTACTGATTTCCCCAATAGGACAGAGGTTCTACTCAGTGATAAACTCATAACCCCATCACTACTCTCAGGCATCATTTCTAACTTCGACTCCCGTGAGGCAAACAGAGGTGACGGGATCCCAGCCACCATCCTAAAGAAATGTGCTCCCAAGCTGGCTCCAGTTCTCTCCAAACTCTACAACTATTGTCTCACTGCTTTCTGCTTTCCAGCTTGTTGAAAATTCTCCCCTGTTGTTCCTGTTTTTAAGAACTCTGAAGAACCTTCTGACTCCACTATAACCCTATTAGTTTCCTATCATTTTTTGGCAAAGTATTCAAGACATAATAATTAAAGTGGTTAAGCATCTTAGCTCTCATGACCTACTCTCTGACAAAGAATATAACTTCCATTTTGCCAGGTCTATCACTGATATGTTAACAGCCATTACTGAATATATATATATATATATATATATATATATATATATGTGTATATATATATATATATATATATATATATATATATATATATATATATATATATATATCTCAAGCTCTAGATAACTCAAAAGGCATTTGACAGGGTTTGGCACATGCTGGTCTTCTACATAAGCTCCAGGGCTATGGTATTACTGGACAATTGTTGATTTAATCCAATCATTCCTATGAAATCACGAAATGAAGGTCGTTTTGAAACTGGCTCACTTTCAGATCCTTTCACATGAACGCAGGTGTCCTCCAAGGCTCTATCCTGGGCCCTATGCTGTTTCTGATCTTCATCAATGATCTTCAGTTCCCAAGTAGGCATTTATGCTGATGACACTACAATTTACTTCTGTCTTGATAGCAAATCTGCCAGAGCTGAAAAAGTTAACCTGGCTGTTGCTCTTGAAAAGGACCTACAATCAGTGCTTAACTGGAGCAGGAAATGGCTCATAAATTTTAATGTATCCAAAACTAAGCTGCTCTCATTTAACCACCATCAAGAATCTTTCCTGCTCACCATCATCATGGCTGATGCTAGACTCATGGAGAGCAACACACTGTGCCTTATTGGCCTCACATTTTCAACTGACTTGAAGTGGCACAACTACATCAAATTAATAGCTGCATCTCCTGCAAGGAAAGTTGGGTCACTGTGTTGTGCCAGAAGGTTTTTCTTGTCAGAGTTCATCTTACACATTTACAAATCTATCATTCGTCTGTGAATTAAATACCATATTTGGTCTGGTGCCCCTGCTATTCATCTCAAGTCTTGACAAACTCTAAAGAAGGATCTGCATTGTAATTGATCCTGACTTGGCATCTCGAATTCACTCTCTTTCTCACTGACATGATATGGCTTCCTTCTGTCTTTTCTACAAATATTTTCATGGCTACTGCTCTGACGAGCTTTTTTCCTTGGTGCTCGGTCTACGTGAGTTTAAGCGTGCTACTAGATTGGCATCTAGGTCCCACCCTTTTACTTTTTAAATAGTTAAATGTAACTGCCACTTCTACTCCAACAGTTTCTTTTCTTGTACTTCCCACCTGTGGAACTCTCCTCCATTTCCTTGCTTCCCTGATAACTACAATCTTCAAAAATTTAAATGCCATGTCAATTGCCATCTTATATCTTGAACTCTGGTTCCCCTTATCTTTTCTCCCACTTTCACTCTTTGTAGCCCCCCTCCATACCAGTGGCATCCCCCACCTTGCTTGGAGTGAAATGATTAAAAAAAATTTAAATATTGGCATTTCTGATTCCACCCTTCCTCCCTCCTTCAAACTGCTTAATATTAGCATCAGAAAGATTCATTAGCATAATTAGATGTGAAGAAAAGTTCTCAGCAGCCTTCTTTTTGATAAGTAGAGATTGAATCCTCCTCCAGTCCCATAGACTCCACCTAGAAGAGTCATGGTTCTCTCAACAACATTAGGCATTGTAGTTTTATGGCAGGAAGTTACTAGCCCCATGCCCAACCAGTTTTGTACCTACCAGTAGTCACCCATCTAAGTACTGACTGAGCTTGACACTGTTTCAGCATGATTTGACCATAAGCAGATTGTATACAGAGTAGAAAATTATTTTTTGTTGAATAAAAAGACAAAGGATTGTAAACTTTTGTAACTATTTTTATATACTTTCCTTGAAAGTCTTACAAAACCCTAATTTCTTCATGACATTTTATAGAAACAGATCCCCTTTTTTTATAATTCATGTACCAGTTTTAAAGCTTTAATCTGTCTTTTTTTTTTTTTTTTTTTTCTTTGTCATTTTCATACCTTAGTTCTAATCACTAAAAAATACAGCTGAGGAATTTATCTGAAAGACCAAAGTACATTGTGGATATTTCATTCTTTCATTATATTATCTTTAACCTCTATTATTATAAGCTATTTTAAATTTTTGATGTGTGTTGTAGTTTTTTTTTTTTTTTTCTTCTGGAGTTGGGGATCAGATCCAGATTTTCAAATGTCTTTTTTTTTTTCCACTTCATCCTCTCTAACAATTTCCATTCACCTTACATCAAGTGCCCACATTTAGAGTTGCAGCTTCTGATTGTGTACATTTCTAAGAGTCTCATTCTTTGCTCCTATACAAAAGAAAAAAACATATAGAATCTGACTTCCATTTCCTGCCCTTGTCTCCTCTTCTAACTTTCCTCAAAATTCCTCCCAATTATGATTTTCTTGGTCAGCAGATTGATATGATTGCTTTGTTGATCACCAGTTGTTTCTCTATGCAATCTTTACTCTCTGATAGTTCATTTGTATCATTCCTGTGATCAATGACATGTTCAAGGAGCACAAATCAGACACTCATCTGTCCATATAATTAATTACTTGATAATTAACTACCATCAATTACTGGCCAGAGTTTGATCTTTTGTTCTGTAAAATCAAATAAATGCAACATTCGAAACTTGGTAAAAGATTGTCATTAGGACATTGGTGATCTGGCTGATATTGTATTGCTTTATGATGAGGTCAAATTCCAAAAGATTGAATTAAGTGGTGCTGAAAAGTTCTTAGTCTGATCCACTTCTAAAAATCTGAAAAATAATCAAATTATTATTTATGACTTTATTTTTTTTTAAGGTTTCTATGGACAAAATAATTTTCAGCACCCTGTCATATTTGATAGAAACTCACCTTTCACAACAATTTGTCTCCTTACTTTTTAAAATCTGCCTCAAAGCATTGCTCTATTATTTTTTACATTATTCTCTCTCTCTCTCTCTCTCTCTCCACCTCCTCTGGTTTTCCCATCTCTCTCTCTCTTTCTCTTT